AATGGTGTATAAAAACAAATAATTGCATCTGGTTTTCTTAATCCAGCTTCGATTGCTTTCATTGTAACAACCGTCACTAAATTTCCACCGGCACTATCACCAACAAGTAAGAGTGTTTTACCATTCCAACCAAGTTTATTTGCATTTTTTAAAACCCATGCATATGCATAAAAACATTCTTCAATTGCACGTGGAAATGGATATTCAGGTGCTAATGAATAATCAATAGATACAATTGGTATTTCAAGACTTAATGCCCAAGGTTTTAAATAAACCTGGATAAAAAAAAAAGTGTTTTTTTTTTTCACAAATATTAATCAAACAAAGAACATTTTTGACATACTTCATGAGTTGATGATGATGTTGCAATAAATCCACCACCATGTATATGTAGAAGAAGATGATCACTCATGGGTAAAATTTTTGTTGATGATATTTCAAAATCAGCTTTTCTTAATGGTAATTCCTGCATACCTTCTCGTATTTCATTTGATAAAAGTTTAATATTAACAAGTTGTTTGGGTTGTTTACTACCCGAACCTGTTGTACTATCTGAACCAGCTCCAATATTTCCAGCTGCACGTTCATTTGGTTCATCAGCACCAGCACTTGCTGTTGGTGGTGGAATAATAATAGAATTAATATCAATTTGTTCAGGTCCTATTTGAAAATATTTTGATACAGTTACATTAGGTACTATATAACGTGAACCCATTTTAACATAATCATGATCAACTATATTCCAAAATGATTTACAAAATAAATAATCACTATCACGAAATATAGCAGCACACTACAAAGTAAGAGTTTTAATTTAAAAAAAAAGACAAGAAGAAAAAGATTTATTTTCTAATTTGAAACCTTTTTAGCTCGTTGTTCTGGAAATAAAATATATTTTGGTGCTGTTGCAAGACTAGCAGCTGCATATGGCATTGGTCGATTATACGTTTCATGATAAGTAGCCAAACCAGCTAATAGAAAAGTAAGCATTGTTTGCATCGATGGAGCAAACTAAAATGTAAATTTTTTTATTTTTAACATTCTGAAAGAACTACAAAATCGTTATAATGAATATGATAAAAGAAATTTCATTTTTTTTTTTAAGATTATTGATAACGACCCGTATGGTTGATGTACACATAGACTATTCAAGTCCAGTTTATGTAACCATCACTGTTCAATTAGATTGTATTCATTTGCATGACTCTGTAATCAAATTTGCATTTTTTTTACTAATTTAATTTCATAGGAAATGTCGGCTATTTGATTAAGTCCGGATATTTATTATTGATATGTTGGGTTTCTATGTTTTTTTTTCCAACGGAAGAAGCCCCCGCATCAAATTTATTGCTTTTGTGTCGGAACTATATACATGATTTAGACTTTAATGAGTAATGCGTACTGTAATAGGAGTTTGCACTGTGTGTTTATTATTGTTGAGATTCTGTAGTTTTTACAGTATTTCTCAAATCAGAGCCGTCATCTCCTCAGAAAACACTAGATAAATTAATCTTCGAATTTCAACTGGAAACTTTGTAAACAAATGAGCCTTAAAGAGAATAGTTTATCAGGAAAGTTTCAGATATTTTGATTTGCTCCTATCTTGAAATAAGAACATCAAATTTTCCTGGCATATTAAACCTTTCTAATTAAAACATAGGTCGATACAAAATTTCCAGTCAAAATTCGAAAATCTGTTTATCCATTTTTCTTAAAGTGGACCATGACTTTGATTTCAAAAACAAAGTTTAAAAATGCAGAATTAATTTTATTAAATCCAATGATTTATGACAAATTACGTCTTTTCTTCTGCATTCTTACTTGAAATCCGCATGTTCGGCCAAAGAAATACTCTGAATCAAACGCAATCATTTTAAAATAATCAAGTTCAAGATCAAGGGGTACATGATCAGAATCGACCTAAATTTAAAGAAAAAAAAACAAACAAACATAGATGTAAGATGCTTTATAAAACAAAAATCTTTTCCATACATATAATGCTTTCTTTTCTGAATAATCAACCATTTTAACAGCTAATGCTAGTATATGTTGCATTGCTACAAGTGCTTTTGTCCAAGATTCAAGATCTTGAAATAATCGAGATGAATACATAAGATTAAATAAAAGACCAACACGTTTCGTATCAACTTGTCGAAGAATATCTAATGTTCGTTCACATGCTTGACCATGGGCTACAACTAATGTTCGATAACCATTAGCTTTAATCTATTGAATAGCAAATAACAAAAAAAAAAAAATTATGCATTAAACCTAACATCTAGTATTTTATATACTTCTGGACTATAATCAAAATGATGAAAATTATCTGTAAGATATTGAATAAGTGGTACAGATAAATCAATTGAATGTAAAAGTTGTATTAATAAACGTTCAAACCGTCTACAAACATCGTTCTTTTGTTGAGAAAAATATTTACAATTTGTATCAGCTAAATCACGTAATTGTGTATATGTTGAATCAAAATTAAACTTAAGTCCAACGGTATCAGGTGTTGGTGAAGTTGGTATTATTAGTGTTCTTACTGTTTTAGACATTTTATTCAAATCTGATGGTGTTGTAGTTGAATTACGCATTGTTGTACTTGAATTTTTATTAGATGAATCTGAGTAAGATGTTGATCGTAAAGTTGATGGACTTTGAGATGATGATAAACGAATACGTGTAGATGATATTCGTTTAGATAATGGTTTTAAAAATGATGATTTTCCATTACTATTAGTTGATACTGTATAGTGACGTTTTGATGTTATATTATGTGGTTGTTTTGATAAACAAGACATAAGACGACTAGCAACAACAATGGGACCCATGGGTAAACGATCAGTAATAGAACGAGATGTTCCATCTGTAGATTGATTAGTTTCATCATTTGAAGAAGTTTCTTCACTATTGTTATTCATACTAAATAACAAAAAAAAAACATAAATTTGTATTTGTTTCGATGATATTTTATTTCTAGAGGATACACTCATGAGACTGTAATTAATAATATAAGTGCAATTGCAGAATACAACAATAATTATACTGTTGACAAAAAATAAAATTAATATATTAAAACAACCCAGAAAGATTCAAATTAAATTTACAGAAATTAGACATAAATATAGGTCAAAAGGAAAGCATAATGATGATTATTGACTACATCGAACAGTCAAATTAACGCTTACTTGAACTAGTTTGATTAGTAAACAGGAAATTTCCTAAATATAGTTCGAAAATAAAATTAACGAAAGAAAATGGGAAAAAAAAGATAATATAAAAACCAAAAAAGTACGTTAAACTTTATATGGTTTTATTCTATATATGTTCTTTCATGTGTAACTTCTTCGTATATTTCAAGTCTTTTTCGATTAATAAAATTCTTAGATAAATCGAACAGCTTTCATTCATAATAGTACTCGAAGGTCGATAGAATGATGTTGTTATTTTGTTTTCTTCGATTATATTAGGAATATATAAGTGTTTTTTTTTCATAAATAAAATCAAATGCCCTATATATAAAGCTATCAACAACAAACATATGTCTCAATATACTTGACGCATAAAATTTATTTTTCTATACATCACCTTTTCTTGCTTACCTAACTGTTAGCGGAAGTTTTGCTCCAGTTAATCGATAACGAACCATTTTAATTTTTTATGCTTCAAAACAGTCACTATACTTAGTAAAGAATTACGAAAACATCAAACTTAGTCAGAAAAATAAATGAGATGGTAAATACCTGACGGTGAAGGAAGGAAAAGGAAAGGATGATTACAAACATGTATAATATTTGTCATGAGTACAAAAACAGAACAAAAACAATGAAACAAATATTAAATAGAGATGAATTACACTATAACCCTAACTAAACTGTTTCTTTTATTATTCGTTTAGTTATTTTATTTGACAAATTTATCAACTTACTAAATTGAATTTGAGACTACTACTGTTGTCATTTTGTTGATGAATCTATTTTGTATGGTTACTATTGACCACCGAGATATATTGACTATTGATTGGCGCTGACGAACATTCAGAAAATTTGACATACGCATGCACGTAATAAAGTGGAGAACGGAGAGAAAATAATGTTGGCTTATTTGCTATTTTTTCTTTTTTGTTCGATCAATGGATGTTTGTCGACGTTCTTCTTATTTGTCTGATGCTAATAATGATCTACAGTCAGAAAAAAAGGACTAGTAATCGAAATGAGAATAACCGTAAAAAATAAATGCCAACATAAGTCATTATGACATGAGTCCTCTGTTGATTCATCCCTTAATACGATTCAATGTTAAAATAGATCGAGTCTAGTACTAGAGGGAAATGCGTGCAAAAGAATAGAAAATATGTACTATATTAAAAACTCAATTAAAAGATAAATCGATTCGTCGTATTTTCGTGACATTTGAAGGCATATAATATATTTTAAAGATTACCAATTTATTTTCAATGACTTAATCCAAATATTTTGCAATAAAAAATCAATGAAAAACAAAATAATAGTAAATACAACGATGAAATTTCTTTGTTAAAAATATGATTCGTTAATATCTTATATTAAAATAATAAAAACAATCTTGACTACATTTATATTTTCCATGGTAGATCCAATAACTATATAAAAATATTTTTTTCAGACTTTTATCAATATTTATTTTTTATAAAAATCATTTCAATTTACAAAAACATTAATTATAAATCTAAGAAAAGTAGTCAAACAACGCAATAAAAATCTTTTCGATAGATGTCACTAACTATCAAAATAATCTTTTCCATAGATATAATATGTTGCTAGTTCCTTAGTAATCTGTTTTCAAATTCTTCTGAAATATATAATATATGAAATGCAAGATTTTTCTTTGATTTAAAAGTAACACAATGGCTTAATGTATTTCTCAAAATGAAGTATATTTGCATATGCGATAAAAACAAAAATTTTACATCAAAACAAAATTCTATGATTTAATAGCCAGAAAAAAAGCATAGTTGAAAATTATATTTGTCCTGCAAAAATACTAGCAAATTCTAAATAAGAAAAAAAAAACCATGATCATTTATTTTATTATTTATTAGTAATCATTTTAATTACCATCAAATGTTATTCGTCCATCTTTATCATTATCAATTTCTATAATCATTTCATCAAGTTCTTCTTTTGTTAATTTCATATCATCAGTTCCACTAGTTATTATACGCATAGTTGTTCGTAATTCTGTACTATCAATTAATCCATTATTATCTGTATCGATCGCACTAAATATTTCACGTAATTCTTTTCTAGCATCAATATTTCGAGTTTTATGTAATACAGACATCATAATTAAAAAATGATTACAATCAATTAAATTACTTCCTATAGAAAAATAAATTCATTTTAGAATATATTCAATATCTAAATAAACCTTCATTAATAATATGATCAATTAAATATTGAATTTCATTATCAGTTGGATTACACTCTAATGAACGAATGAGATAACTTAATTCTTTTGAATTTATTAAACCATCTTCATCACGATCATACAAACTAAATGCTTGTTTATATTCTATAAAAATTGCCAAATTCTATTAACATATCATATATAAATATACGTAGTTTCTTACCAATTTCTTGTTCATGTGTTAAAGGTTCACCCTTAAATATACATACGAAAAAAAAAAATATTCGCATCATTAATACTCAACAAAAGTAACTAATATCTTACTGTTAAAATAGATTTTCCGTGTGAATTTGTAACTTCTGTCAAAGAAAGCATTTTTTCTTTATTTTGTATCGAAGAATGACAAATATAATAAGAAGTTAATTCATCGTAGAATAATGAAAAAAAAGTGCCTGACATAGAAATTGATATTCAAATCAGAGACAACTTTATTAGAAAAAAGCCTCAAATGTTTAAATCATTTGTTTCTTTAAAAAAAAATGAAAATTTGCATAATATTAAAATACAAGACAATAATTCTTATTTTCACTTCGTCCTTCCTTAAAAACTTTATATGAAATCGTCAAAATAGCTCATGGTCTTTTTTCAAACATGAAAGAAATCATTGTTTCACATAAAGCAATAACTCTCTTAAAAGAATTTTTATTAACTAATGTAGTCAACAGTGTCATATGCTTACATGAAAGCAAAGATAAAGTAATAGATCAAATGAATCGAAAGTAAACACATACTCACATTCCGTTAAAGTTACACATGTAGATGAAGAAACGAATTCTTACTCGCAAGAATTTTTTTTTCGTGGAAAATTACAAGTAATTCAAATCAAGACAACCGTTACTGATATTACTGAGTAGATAAATTCAAAAAAATTGTAATTTAGTGTTTAGCTTTAAATTAGCATTACTTTCCAGTTTAGTCGCTTTAACAAATCACACACATAAGTTTTGCCATCCAAGCTGCGCCACTACATATAGACTTTTATTACCAACAAGATCAATATTATTTCTAATGATGATTTACACGACATGCTCGTATAGATTGTTAATATGTTCATCTTTAAACTAATTAGGCAAGCATCTGTCCTAAACTCTGTACATATTAAACAAAGCATGTTCGCGATTTATACACAAAGAATTATTTCAAATGACTGTAAGCGAAAAAAACCCGAAAATATTTTTGAACAAAACAAAGTTTAGGATTAAAACGATATTCCAATAAAATGTGGATATCTATTCGTTTTTTAACTTGTTGTATTATTTGCATATTTATATTCGATAGAATAAAGAATTCATTTCATTATTTTTTTTTTTTTTGAGGTAAACAATAGTTCTCATTCAAAAGTCTTGATTAAGATTAGAAGATTAGTTTTTTTTTTTTGTTTTCAAATGTGCGTTTGCTATTTTTAATCAACAACAAGAACAACAAAAACGGTACAAATAACAGGCATAAAGCGCCGACACAAAATTGTTGAACACATAATACCAATGTTATTATTCTTCCATTGATTCTTTTTTTTCATTTTCGTCTTTATTCTTGCTTTTACCAACGGGTCTAAAAAATTAAAACAGAATGAAATATTATCTGAATATTAAAATAAGCAAAAATTTATTCTTACCGATAATTACCAACAACAACCGCATGATCACGTTCATACGGTTCTAATGTAAGTTGTTCTTTTGGTTTAAGTTTTTCACTTTGAAGTTTTTTAACTTCACCAGCAAATACAGCTTCTGGTGCAGCTGTTGAATCAATACAACTTGCCTACACGAAAAACAAAAAAAAAAACATTCCGAAAAAATAAATTCTTCTTGTTTTTCTTTTACTTTAATTGAAATAACAAAATGTCCACCATTTTTCAAAAAATGATGTGCATTAAGTGCAAGAATACGTGCTTGATCTGGTTGTGCAACATCTGCAAATATTGTATCAACCATACCTATAAAAATAAGAATGGTAATTTTGATTAGTAGAAAAAAAAATTGATTTATTTTCAAACCAATAAGCATTCGATATTTATGTGGATGACGTGCATCTTCAATAATCGGAATAATATTAGTACGTTTTTTTGCTACATTTAATAAATCACGACCAGATCGATGTGAAAATTCAACTGCATAAACAAGACCATCCTTAATAGAAATAAAACAAAAATAAATTATAAAATTAAATAAAAAATTAAAATACATACTGGTCCAACAATATCAGACACATGAGATACAGTTGTACCACTTGCTGCACCAAGATAAAGAACTTTTGTACCTGGTGGCATATGAATATTATCAACACCACTTAGAATTGCAGCACCTAATTTTGAACGAAACGGATTCCATACACGATATTCAATTTTTTCTTGATTTTCTCCCTACAAAAAAGAAAAATTTTCTTAATTTGAAAATTTATAAAACAAAGACCATACATCAGCACTAATACGTTTTTCACCATAAACACTTTCACCAACGACCATATTTTTAGTTAATAACATATCATCATCTTTCGATCGAGCGATAAATACTCCTAGAAAAAAAAAGATACGATAGAAAATAATATTTCAAAAGATAATAAACTAACCTGGATGACGATGTGGTTCGACAACAATTTTTTTTCCACCAAACCCACCTTATTATATAGAATACATAACATCGATAGATAGACAAAAATATTTTCATTTACCTCTACCACCACCACCACCACCACGGCCACCGCGACTGCCGCCACGGCCACCTAAGAAAAATAATTTATGAAAATTAAAGAGTATTTCGCATAAAGTACTCACGTCCACCGCCACCACCACGTATACCACCGCCACGTGTACCTATCAATTGAACTGTTTATTAAAATTTCCAATTATTCAAAAATCTTACCACGACCACCACGATCACCACCTAAATAAAATACACATAAGATAAATACACGAATCAATACAAATCTTACCTCGTCCACCACGGAAACCACCGCGATCACCACCTCCTATAGCAAAATTTATTTATTTGAATTGATAAACAAAAAAAAAACACTAATTTACCTCGGCCACGTCCTCCACCACCTCCGCGACCACCACGAAAATCTATTTTAATAAAATATACATTTATTAAGAATTTTCTTTTTTGCTTTTCGTTTAAAACTACCTGGTCGACCCATTATTTCAATTTCGATTATCTAAATAATAATCTTAAATAGATACGTTGATGAAGTCTTTAAAGAAGAATTCGTGCACTCAATAGGAACGATGAAATTAAGTAATCTCAAATAATTTTTCACAAAGGTATTAATGTACCAATCAATGTTCGATCGAAATGTTCCCATTTTGAACGACGAATTTTTTTGAACACTTAATTTTTTGATCTCTATTAGCTTTAAAAAGAGAAAAATCTTTTTTGAAATCGAATAAAAAAAAATAAAAAATAATAATTTTTATTTTTTTTTATTCTAAATAATAGGTGACACTAGTTATCGTTAACTAAAAAAATTTTTTTAAATTTCGATCGACGCGTCTCGAACAATCAAAAAGAAAGGAAAACATGAATCAATCATATATGATGTTTTTATCAAGATTTTTTGATATCATAGAAACGTATAAATAGTAGTGTTTTCAGAAATCTTTGCTTTTATCCATGAGTAATTCAAGACTTTTTATTTCTTTGATATATATTGGACCGAACTGTACGATAAGTTATTGATAGATCAGTGAAATACTATATTGTGTTTTCTACAGGTGAGAACACAAAAAAATTGATCAACTACAATAATTCATTTATTAAAGATGTTGAATAACAATAGTTTATGTATTAATTTTCAAAATTACAACATTCTTCGTAAAACTACAATGTCTATTACAGACAGTAAGAATGAACATTTCTGTCGATTGATAGTAATGGCTTATAATAGCAAAGATTGTACATGAGGTAAAATAAATAATTGATGACAAATTCTTACTTTCATATATCTTAAAGTGATGATAATATAATCAGAATTTGTTTGGACAAAGGAAATATCTATAACGTATACTGCAAGCCGATTCCACACGAACATTGTATAACTTAATCAAGTACCTGTCAATTATTTATTATAATGTGGAGTTTAGTCGTATTTTATTTTGAGTTTCTTGTTCTTAGTACTCAATGTTATGCGAATATTCAAAATCAATCTTCACTTCAACAGAAACGGTAGAAAACAGATTGGTCAATAATTCAAATAATATTTACTCAATGTCTGATGTTTATCATTATCGCTAGTGCTTATTCTATAGTTTTATTTTACCATTCAATGAAATTTGCTGCAATACAAGATGCATTTCAAACAGTAGTAATAATATTAATTATAAGCATGATTAATTTCATAAGTATTGGAACTCGCTGCTTTCGCTTCTAGGTAAAGTAACGAAAAAAAGTTTTAACAATAAAAAATATAATATCTACTTGTATTTATCATACTCGGTTCAATACAGCAAGCAATTATTGTGTTTCTAAGCAGATCATTGGAAAGAGCGAAATGGCCTTGACACAATATGTTCATCTACTATGAACAAAAACTCATATGAAAATACATTAACAATTGAAACCAACAAAACCTAGAAGGTTACGTATATAACTTTAATGAAAAACTTCATTTTGTAAGACAGAGTTTATATCTAACCATAAATCTAAGAAGAATACAAAAGATTAAGTCGAACAAAGTATTTTGAGTGTAGATTAGAGCTCTTTTCCATTGGTTGCAATGAATTTTTCATTTATAATAATATCAGCTTTGACGCTATCAAAACGATGAACCTTAAATAAGAGAATTTTACGCTCTATCAGGCTCAATGCGAAAGATAATCATAGGGTCTCAAAAAAATGCAAGCTTTATCTTACAAACCTAGGTTTTTCATTAAATTCATATACGTAACGTTCTAGGTTTTGTTGATTTCAATTGTTAATGTATTTTCATATGAATTTTTTTCAGAGTAGATGAATATATTATAATAAACATGAGGGTATTGTATTCAATGTTAAAATTTTTTACAACATTGTATTCTCTATTGTGATTTTTCATAAAAGAAAGCAATATAAAATCCATATCTAATGAATAGGCTCTTTTTGTGATATTAGCTTCCTGTTGGAATAATGATAAAAGGATGAGACGTAAAAGAAAGTCTGGTCATATACGAGAAAAAAAGGCTAAATGAGACATCTGCTATTTTTACACATTGCCTGTAACGAAAGTGATGGGTACATTCTCTGTTGGCAAATAAAACAAGAAAAACATAATAGATATCGACCATCTGTATTTTGGATGATGCATTTGTAAGAAATCATGTTATTATGTTAATAATTAAAAGAACAAATACGATAGGCAAAAGTCAATCAAGAGTAGTATAAGAAAGTAACTTTTCTGATAAAGATACTGTTTTATACCGATGAGATTGTATAATACATGTTAAAGATTCCGATCATTTGTTGAAGATACAATTCATAAAGATAACTGAACTGAATTTTGTTATGATAGAATTTGCATCAATTAAAATGAAAACGACATATTCAGTGGTTCATACTTCACTATTGAAAGTAAATAATGATTTTTAATAAAAACAAAGCATACATTTCCTACGGATCTACTCATTCACTCAGACGAACATATATGTATTATCAGAAAAAGTCTATCATAATTATGAATTTGATATAATTTTTATTCGACTATATAGCGTATGTTTTCGATCCTATACAAATCAAGTTGATGCCAGATGCTTTAGGTAAAGAAAGGAGAAAGTTAAAAATAGTAAAAACGAAGTTTATTTAAAATTTTAATGTTTTTTATTGATTCAGAAAAAAAATCTGAATAGATATTTTTTTAGAAACTAATATTAACACCATATCGTATATAAAGTACAAAATAATTAACAATCAATACGATTGGTTCGAATTTCGACTTCTGTTTAGAATATTTTATTTGGTTATTTTATTGATGTTCAGTGTTTTACTTGTTTTAATTAATAAAGATAATTTTCAATGAGTTAAATGCTAAAAAAAAAGTTGGCCTAGTCATATACTATAAAATTCAATAAAGAAATTAATACAATTGGATATCAAATTTTTTTTATACCTAATGTCGATAATCAAAAATTGTATTCAAAACCAATAATCAATATATATCAATAATAAACTATCATACAAGTATCTAAGCATGAAAACTGTTCAAAAACTCTCTCAAGAATCTTGTATTCAAACTTTTACATTCTATCTTGAGTGTAGTAAAGACGTCAAAGATTACCTTAATAAGTCAACTTCTATCCGAAACAGAGTTGATGTGAGCGAAAATATTTATCATGCTTTTTGTTTTAATTGACAAGCAATTTTCTTTGTTTACAAGAAAAATATTCTCTCTTATTTGCTGTTATCTTATCATATGACAAGGACAAAAAGACGTAGAGAATCAAATAAGAACAACATGGAAAAAAGCATATTGTACTTCTTGATATGTGGCGGTACCAATTTTTATGTAAATAGTTTTATTAAAGACCACATATCAATATGTTCAAATATGTATATAAAATTTATTCACTATTATTTTACTCTAAATGAAATCGTGATGATCATTTTTGAATATTGTTTAGAGGACGTCAAATTTGACCTACCAGCTTTTTCTATCATTGCACATCGTACAACGATTTTGCGTTCTGTATTTGTTGACGACGAAACGACCTTCACGCCATATATAAACGAATAGGTAAATGTTGTGAAAAGGAACAACCACGTGCTTATCAATTATTAAGTGTACATGAGCGATAAGTCGAAAACGATATGGCAGTACAACCCAATCTACAATCAACGGACAAATCAAATGAACTTCTTCGTTTCTTTTTTGCAAGTTTCTCTCAAGGTTTTACTGGTTTTTGTACTAAGTAAGCAACTTATAGAATCAAATCATAATCATATATATGTATTTTTATTTATTTATTTGTTTATTATTAAAGTCCCATCGATGTAATCAAAACACGTATGCAAGTAGATGGTGAATTACAAAAAACACGTAGTGTTGGTGAACAAATGCATAATCGTTATTACCAAGGTTTTATTCGTGGAACATTTCGTATTGTTCGTGAAGAAGGTTTCGCTGGTCTAATGCGTGGTGCTGTTCCTGGTACATTACGAGATGCTACTTATTCTGGCATGCGTATCGTAAGTATTGTATTTATTTAAACATTGTTCTCAGTTAGTTAAATAAATGTCTAAGAAAAATATGAGTTTATTTTCAATTTGAAAGATAAATAACATTGATATATTTTTTTTAATAGTATCTCTATGAACCATTCAAAAACTTATTAGGTGGTGGTAATCATCTTCATGAGAAAATTATAGCTGGTATATGTTCCGGTGCTATATCGAGTTTTTTTGCAACACCACTCGATGTTGTTAAAATTCGTCTTCAAGTCAAAGGTGAACGACGATATCGTGGTTTAATGCATGGTCTCATTGATGTAGGTAAAACAGAAGGTTTAGCAGGTCTTTATAAAGGTTGGGGACCAACAATGATTCGTGCTGCTATACTTACTGGTAGTCAAGTAGCATCCTATGATCAAATCAAAAGACTTTTAATTGGTCATGGTTATATGCAAGAAGGTATAGCTTTGCATACGGTAGCTTCATTTTTTGCTGGTCTTATTTGTTCGTTAACAACATCACCGGTGGATGTAATTAAAACTCGATATCAAAATACACCTGCTCATTTAGGCATATACTCAAGTGTATTTGATTGTTTTCTTCAATCATTTAAAGCTGAAGGTTTTTATGGTCTTTACAAAGGCTTTTTACCTAATTGGATGCGTCTTGGACCACATTCAATCATGGCGTTTATTATTTATGATAACATGTGCATCGCTTGTGGTTTGAAACCAATTTAGTTCATATTAAATATTAAATTTGATCAATATTGAACATTAGGTTTTTATGTTTAAGTTTACTATAATAGATTGTCTTCAAAACAAAAATTGTTCAAAAAGGTAATAGTTAAAAAATTATGAAAAGCTTTCATGAACTACATAACATTCTATATAAATAAATATTTCTTACAGAACTGTCTATTTTGGTTTTTTTTAAATAATGCATAAAATGGTGATTTTGTTTTGCCTTTGATTAGTCATATTTGATCAAACAGAATGTATG